AGCTGCTACCCAGACGTCTTTCAAGAAACAGCCTGATGAGATCCTCACATCAATTAACTACAAACTGCCATACGGGCTAGATGGGTTGAATGGCTTTGTCTTGTTTCTAATTTTTGTGAATGTTCTCATGGTCTTGTGTTGTTCTTGTGTTCTTGTGTTCTTGTGTTCCTATGCTCTAATGTTTTTATGTGCAACTGGAGCAGGTTACACAGTGTAAGAAGATGCTGTTATGCTGTGATGATGCCCCTCAGGACTCAAGACTCTGTAAATGTATGTGAAATAAATAATAATGGACTTGACTAGTCTTTGAGAATGCACATGTACATTGTATGGTAATATTCATGATAATAACTAGCAAGAACTCTTTTAGTGCACCCCTTACGGTACTGATTGTATTTTATGTATTGTACTATTATTATTATTGTATCATTCATTACACTGTGGCTGTGTTGTGTGTGTAAAGCTGCTGTTGCACTGCAATTTCCCTCACGGGATCAATAAAGTATCTATCTATCTAAGATGGAATAAATAAATATTTAAGCACAATGACCACTGTTTAATATTTTTTATATAAATGGACTGTACATTATAGTAGTAGTATAGATACTAGTGTGAATTTGACAGACTTTTGAAAAATACTCTATCAGTCTTCCAAATATGAATGGATGTTTAAGTGCCAAGCCACTGGTAATAGCAGAGTCGTGCAGACATGAATAAAACATTTTATGGATACAGTCTCGTAGAGTTCATCATCCCTTTTTCTCTTTTAAGACATTTATAAGCCCCACGCAAACCCCAGAGCAGTAAATGTCGATGTGTTTGTGGTTCCATCTATTGCTTCTTATTTTGATTTGAGAATCATATTACTAGTGAACCATATTTACAGATATGTGTTTCTGCTATGAATAGATTGTTTCAAGAAAATAACATTTTTCTCAAAAGCTTTTATTCATTAAAATTGATAAAAATGATAGGCAGGCTCTTTTTGTTTTGTAAAGCATAAAAAATTGGAATACCCTGAAATAGATACATGAGGAACCATTTCAATTTCCTCCGGACACATTTTAGCAAAATTATTTCAAAAGAGCTGATTTTCCTGAGAAGTGCTGGTTCCTTTCTTTTTTAAAACACAGACTTTCAGAAATACTGTGGGATCATAAGTGCAGATTATTGTATCAGATTCCAACAGGAATTGTAAATATTTTCTATTTACTCTTGTAGGTGTTTCAGAAAATACTGAGAAGACCTCGGATGTCATGAGTTTAGAGGTTTTTCTGCTGGACAATTCAGATTATAGATTACGGCTTTTCTAAATTATATGCTAATTTATTTGCTTTCTGTCAAATTGCACTATTTTGGTTTGTTTCTAAAATCCTGGACACCAATTTGCATTGTGGGAAAAAAGGAAGACAAACTATCTTTGCAATAAATTGCTCTGAAGCAAAGCCCTCAGGATTGTCTGGCTCCATCAAAGACCTGATTACATGTCTCCAAAAACCACCTTCAATAACATAGCAATTAGAGAACTTGTCACTGTAGCGTCTTTATTTAGGCTTTTTATTTTTGAGTGCAGTTTTAGGATTTAATGTAATTACTTCTTTTGTTATTGGCTATAATTACTTGAACTATTAAAGCAAACAATAAGAGGCCCAGAGCAGAATCATTTTCCCAGAGTTTTTAGCCAGGCCTTTTTAGAACGACTGGCCTTGTGTTGATCCACTGGGAAAAGGGATGTTCATTTCAGAAGGAAAGGGGACAGATATGTGGCAGACAGGAGGAGGGCACTGTGTCCTCCTTTTTGTGCAAAGGTGTGAAATGATCTGGCTGGGGTTTAAGCAGTAAAAGCTCCAGATTCAGGGGGCAGCACAGCTGAAGGACAGATCCTCGGATGCAGAGAGAATCAGGGGATCTCCCCTGCCTCTCGGCAGTGTTACACCGCGGAAGAACAGGGACGGAGACAGACAGAGTTCCCAGACGTCTGCTCTTTATCGTCCATAACTCGTGACTGACACAGAATGGGAAAACCCCGCCAAGACACCCAAGTGCCATAAAGCGGTGACCCCCAAAACCCAAAAGCGCAACAGCGTCGTAAGACCCAGAGGGACTCTGTGTGCGACAATAACGGGCAGCACAGGGCTCAGCAGGCCAGGCAGGTAACCGTTGTGTTTGGGATTAGGCGAAGCGTCGTGACTTTGATTTGAAGCCTGATAGTGTAGACACTGCAGACAGGACAGTCCCAGTGTGGAGGACTGTTCGTGCCTCTTAGTAGGAGCCAAAACTTTGGTGGCTGACACAGTTTATTGTTATTATTACAAATATAACTTAAGCAAGTGTTTTCGTGCAAGAGGGCTCTATCCTGGGCAGAGTCTGTGGGAGTTATGGCATATTTTCATTTTCTTGTGATGGCTACTGTTAGAGCTTTTGGCACCATGCCCTTTGGTGGATGTTTTCCTTTTATGCTAAATCATCTAAGAAATAAGGTTGATGCAGAGAGTTACGAGACATGACATTTTCAAAAACATACAACCCCAGCCAAAGATGGAGCTCGTTAACAGACTGTACCCTACTGCAGTTCGAAGGTTGAAACCACAAACCTGACTTTGTGCTTGTACCTTTTGGTCTTGAGGAATTTTGTTGGTTTTGTGCACAAAAGCCGAATCTAAGTTTTAATGAGAAACAAAATACATTTTTTCACACATACTGCCAGAAAAGGATGGCGTTTTGCTGTTCATTCCTGGATGTATCTCACACACAGCAGTCCTTTTCTCACCCATTTTCTGGTTCAACAAATCTAGAGCACTTCAGGACGTAAGGTTTTTTCAGAGGCCAATCATGTAGAGAAATGCAGGAGATCACAAGTGAAATGTTGCTTTTTTGTAGGTTTTTGCAAAGATTTTTGTTGCTGAAAAAAACCCAAAAGAATGAAACAGACATTTCTTGCTTGTGTTTCTTATGCCACGTGTAGAAATCATAGCACCCAGCACCTAAAACCAGCTGCTGTGTCAACAAATTCTATTCTTCTCCCGGGTACTCATACGTAACAGTGTATCTAAAATACATTTCAAACTATCTTTGCGCTAAGATCCCCAAAATCAGACCAGACCTCTGTTTTCTTTGCTATTCTGGGAGGTAAGGAAAGTGCAGTCAACCATTTGGGATAGTAAAGGAGAATTCAGAGAAGCAGTGCAAGGTCTTCACTTGTGCATTGTAGAGGAAGTGCTGTAGATGCCTCACAAGCTAAATCTGTCATCCTCCACAGAATGTTGATGGGGGAGCCCCTACAAGGAAGTTCCCAGCACCCCCAGAAAATCTGGTCATGAGGCCATGAAATGTGACATCAGGTCCTTCTCCAAAGAAGTTTGAGGAGCCTTGTTCCAGGTAACAGGAAAAAATTCTAAAACATGGAACCAGCTTTACCCAGAAATTAATTCACTTTCTCGGAAATGCATTTTGCCAGTGAAGCACCTAGCACAGGCTGCTGTGTCAACGAAGCCAATTCTTCTCCGGGGTACAGATACGTAACCATACACAGTATCTCAAATAAATTTCAAACTATCTTTGCACAAAGATATCGTCTTCCCAAAACAGACCTCTGTTTTCTTTGCTAGTGTGTGTGTGTTAAGGGAAGTGCAGAGGACCACTTTGGATATTAAAGGAGAAGTCAGAGAAGCAGTGCAAGGTCTTCACTAGTGCATTGTATAGGAAGCACTGTCGATACCTCACACGCTAAATCTGCCATCAACCTGCGTGTTGCTCCACAGAATCACAGGCTTCTCCACACTGTAATGGGTTTAATCCATGCTGAAAAAAAAAGAAGAAAGAAAACACAACTTTTCGGCCGTGGAGCCTTCTTCAGGTTCCTCTCAATGGGAGGGGAGTGTTAAACTGGCACTTAGGCAGGTTACCATAACATTGCTGTGTTTTTCAAGTAACAATAATTGGAAACCTTCAGTCCGTGTGTCGTTTTAGCCTTCTTGAGCAGGACAAACAGGCAGCTCTGCTCCAAACCCAATTATTGTCTTTGTGCCATATCAGTTTTCATTGGTTTAGGAACAGGGGGCTCTACTAAAGGATGAAAGTGCTGAAAACACAAGAGTCTCTTGCCATGAGCAGAGATAAGGTGGTCTTCTGATTGCCTGGTCACATACTTCTAATAATCTGAAAGTGCATGGTCCGGGATCTTTGTTGCATGTGAGCTGTTTAAAAATTCAAACAGAAAACTTTATTGAATGTGTCTGTTGTTTTCTCATACCTTGCTGTGGTCTATTTTTGCTTCACCTCCTTTTCTGGCTCATGCAAGACAGAGACATACTGCAGGCGGCTGAAATAACGGCGCATAAATGTCTTCCCTACTGAAGTCAACATAACACAGAGCAGACAGACATCAAATAATACAGTATGATCTGATAAGCCCTTCGCCGGCCTTCAGAGTCTCGGGAGAGAACTGCCCTGTGAGCTTCAGACTGACGATATGCAATTCTGCAGGGAGCCTTCATATTAACCTGCTGGCTCAGGGTCAGCTTTCAGGCATCTCATTAACCTCATCAAGAACAATTCTGGTCCATTTTCATGGCTCAGCAATAGAGCAGAACTCTTAACTAAAACATGTCGACCCTTCAGTCTAGTGGTCAATTTGTTTTTTTTAAAACGTTTTTGGAGTCTTGCCTCTTGAGGTTTTTGAAAAACACAACAAATTCAGAATTTGGAAATCCAGAAGTGTGAACTCATATGTGTTAGCTCTTCACTAAAGATTATAGTAAACATTATTACCTTGTATGACATTTTAAGGAGCAGGTTTGTGTCAATGCATCATAATGCAGTTTATTGGGGTATAGGTTTTAAAGAATAGTATCAGAAAATTAAACTCTGAAAAGGGCCTGTTGTTTTGTAAATGACTTTTTAATATAAATAAGGAAAAATTAAGTGTTTTCTGTGCAAACTGGTTTATAATTACATTACTGGTTTATATAGTCTCCTGAAAATATCCCAAAGGGAAGTTATTTGGCAGAAACTGGCTTTTAATGTGTCTCAAAATTGTTACCAGCTGGCATGACTACAGGAAATACTTCTCCCTTTAAAACCTCAAAGCAAATAATACAAGTAACATGCAATATTCATAGCCCTGTTTTTATTGCTGACTATGTATACAGCAATTTCCCTTATATAGCTGTAATGATAGAATAGGAACGACTGAAAGTACACCAGTTTCACCCCCAGGAAGTCAGATATGTCACTAAATGCAGAAAACCAGCTTCAATCGTTTTCCATCATTATCACGTATTTACACATGCAATTCATTTTCAATTTCAAACTTGGATTTGAAGATTATTAACAAAGACTGATTTTCTGTTTATTTCCCAAGTCACAGAAAATGTGATGTGAGTAACAAAAAGTCTGCATTTATGCAAAAAGGTGAGGAACTAATATTTCAATAGGATATTTTCCACAGACCTGCTAATACATTTCACATTCTTGCAGTGACCAGTTCTAAAATAGAAGATGAACAATGGGGCCTTCTGTCAGTATGGTCTTGAAAATCAAGATGTACCAATTTATTCCAGAGACAAAAAATAATGTGACCTACAGAATGAGATAGTGGGTTATTTGTAAATGTGATTATGTTGTCAGGAGGTTGTTTTTTAAAGGGGTATATTTAATCCATTGTGAAGTCCTACGCGACTTACAAATATAACCACTGGTTTACTTCAGTCATTGTCAAACAATTATGTAATCCAGAAGGACTGTAGCAAATTATAAGAATTGTTGTAGCTGGTATCGGAAAACCTCAGACTGAAAACTAAACAAGAGCTGCGTCACTGCTAACTCTGATCAGACCTGGGACTCGCACTGCAGTGGTCATCACCCCTGCTTTTTATCCACGAAGCCTACTCGGTTACAATTAACTGAAATTAACGTGGAGTGGGTGGGGCTGCAGCAAAAACACGCAGTGCTACACGGAATTAATAGTACATTAGAACAGATAAACAGGGAGCTGACTAAAGCCGACTAAGAATCGCTATGCAATTCAAAATCACCGCGACTTTGTGGTAGCACAACTCCTCTCCCACTGTAGCGCCCCTGCGCGATCCGGACGCGTTCTCCCCGTGCCGTGTGCTTGTCTGCTTTCAGGCGTCAAGTGCGGTCGGTCCTCGCCCGGGTGTTCCGGCAGAACCTGGCCACGCCGTCCGCCACGCCTCCCCCCGCGTTGCCCGCTGGAGTGGAGGGACCCCGCCGCGGCTTTCCCGGGGCTGTCCGGCCCTGGCGCGGCCGCTGCTGCTGCTGGCAAGGCAGAGCGAGCGCCGCTGTGACATCAGGAGCAGCCCCCGGTCCCACTGCTGTTTCCAAAGTCCGATATGGCTGTGAAAGCTGTTGTTAATAAAAGTTAAAAAGAAGGGGATGAAAAGGAGGTGAAATTGAGCAGCCCGGGCTGTATTATTTCTTCTCTGTATGGGAGCTGCCCTTTTGGAGGCGCTCTGGCAGTTACAGGCTAGGGGGGTCGCTGGCTGTGTCGCCATTACTGCCTGAGGGCACAGAAAATTATTTGCCTCTCTGAGGCTTCAAAGAGAGCAATTATACTTAAGTAACCAAATGAATAGATATCCCAGCTTGCCAGCAGCTTTGAGAAAACAGAAGAGGCCTTTGAGGGAAGCACCACACCTTATGAGTAATGTGCAACAGCTCGTATGATAATTGTGAGGGAAATGTCCTGCCTCTGAACCAGGGAGACTTGCGCCAGCCATTGGCTCCCATCATAGACAAAAAAAAAAAACGCCAGAATGGCTCCACTCTGTATGAGCTGCATATTTAGAGAAGGCAGTCATTGTGAAGGCACTCTGAGCAGTGGCACATACGAAGTCAGCTTCCTATTGAAATTCTGAAAGAGCCTTTGATTGGAAACTGTTTTGGCAGGAGAGCTCACCTGCAGAGAGGAGTCTATAGCCTTTTAGAAGGTTCAACAGCTGCCAGGGCTGTAAGTCTGGGTACCTAGTGGGCCGAAGAATAGGAGATGTGGAGCTTTTGAATGCAACGCCACTTAGTAACAGAAGGCATGTGCCAAGCTTGCAAAATGAGAATGAAAAGTGCCCTTCGGAGCTTACTAAATATCAGGGGGACGTTTTTTTTTTCTCAGCCCATTCTAACACTTCTGTAAAGAACAATGCCAGATACAAAGCGTCCACACTGCTGAAGTACACAAACAATCGCCATCGAAAGGGTGAAGAACTTAGCTGAAGTGTGGAAGTCATCAATTACACAGAGCAAAAGTTAAAAACCCAGCAGGACGTGCACATTATAATGCAGAGATATGCAGGCTGAAGGCAGCAGATGCCTTGTGTTGTGGTTTGGAGACCGATCGCGCGGTATTTTGTTTTCTGTACATGCAGAATTCCGATTGTAAATGTTGCGGGATTATTTTCACTTTCTCTGTTCCCAGTTCTGAGTAAACAGAAGACACAGCTTGATCGCATGGACCGCGTGTGCTGGGTTACACAGAAGAAAACTTCCTTTTTCCCAATTTAATTTAGACTGGTATTCTTTTTTATTTCCTTAGTTAGTTAAAATGTTTGTTAAAAAATGACACATTTCTCACTATATTATACCTTCTAAACCCTTTTTAGTATATGCCTCTCTATTTCCTTCCTTATGCGATCCAAGCTTTAAAAAAGAGGGGTATCTGACAATCTCCCCCTCAGAAGTCTGTTATTCAGCAACATGTTTTTGTAGTTCTGGCTTAGGCATTAAAGACACAGAACATGTAACAGGTTTTAAGATCACAGACACTTAAGCAACCTATTTCTGACCTTGAAATACCTTTTTTGAGTTACTAGAACAATGTGAGTCAGCACATCCACAGCAAGGAAGAGACAGCTTGCACGAACTCAGTTTAGACAGGCAATAACCTGTTGAAATTGAGATGGTGCTTGAGAAACATATCCCTACTTCTGCCTAATACGTCGTTGGGGAATATGAGAATGATCCACGCATTCTGATTTTAACAAAAAAATGGCACATGTGACTAATGGCATTGAAAAGAGTTTGATGGAGTCCCTCACTCAACACTTTCCAGCAGAGCAATAACAGGACAGCAGACCAAGAAGCAGGTCTCAGAGATGATTCGGCTTAGACCTTGCAGGAAATGCGTAGGATGTCAGACTGTACAGAAGTGAAAAAGTGTTCAGCGGTATTATACTGATAGTGGTTAACGTGACTGCAGATTAGTGGGGAACGAAGCACTCTGAGGCACACCACTAAGGGATTGTGTTACAGGAAAGACAAATGCAAATGTCTTCAATTGGTGAGCTCTAGGCAGAATGCAATGTGTAAAAAGATCTTGACGTTCAGTTTTAGATGTTACCGACCGTGGAAACATGTTGTGAGATCCAGCTCAACCAATTAAGTGTATGAACATCCCCAAAAAGTGGACTTCCAGATACCACAATTCTTTACTCTGCATTGTTCCCTCCACAGGAGACGGAGAAGGATGTGCCCAACACAGGGCAAGACACACAGAGCACAAAGGCTCATCATCTTTACTGTCTCCCTGCAGCTAATTTACGATGCCCTCAAAGCAATTTTCACAGTCAGAAAAGTGCAATTGTATTTTCCAGCTCATTAAGCAACAGCACAACAAAGCTTGATCCCTCCCTTTCCCCTTTCTACTCCCCTCCTCTCGACCAGAAGGGAAAAAGAAAAGTCAGCTTTCGCTAAGAATTAAATAAAAGTTACGCGGCTGTAAGTGGGATCTTTTTCCTCTCACGGAAAACTGCCTACGTACCAACCATGAGTGTGCTGCAAATCCCCCATCTTTTAAAAGCCAAGCCACTCATTCTGAAAGAAAATTTAATGCTTGTTTATTCAGTGGCCCTTTTAACATTCCTCCATCCCATTGTTAAAGGTTTCATGGGAGGAATTCTAAATTGTAATCTCAGGACAATCGAGCCCACTTATTTGTTCAGGGCTTTCTCTTCGGTAATCGCAGTGAACCTATAATCACATAAACATCTGTCACAGATCCAGTGTGGAGAGGATTTTATAACCCTTTCTTTCAGGCTCCCAGAATGTAATTATAAGATTAAATAAAGAAATAGACTCTGTCAACAGAGGGAAGGAAAGGACGAGAGCAGTCCTTTCATGACATGGCTACACATCTCTGTTGTGCTGGCTGATGTCATCTCTGCAAAACAAACCTGGTTTGGAATTTTCTGAAATGTTATATATTTGGGTAGAGGAAAAAAATATTATACTATTATTATTATATTAACAGAATATAATATAATATCGGGGTGGAGCGGTGGCTCTATAGCTAAGGATCTGCGCCTGTGGCTGGAAAGTTGCCGGTTCAAATCCTGCAGCCAGCAGAGGAATCCTACTCTGTTGGGTCCCCTGAGCAAGGCCCTTCACCCCATCTGCTCCAGGGGCGCTGTACAATGGCTGACCCTGCGCTCTGACCCCAGGCTTCTCTCCCTTTCTGTGTGTTTATGTCTCATGGAGAGCTAGCTGGGGTATGTGAAAAGACGAATTCCCAATGCAAGAAATTGTATATGGCCAATAAAGTGATCTTATCTTAACCTTAATTAGAAGTAGCAGTAACAGTGGAAGTAGCAGCAGTATTAGTATTAGTAACAGCACCACTAGTAGTAGTGCCATAGTAGTAGTCACAGTAGCAGCAGGAGTAGTAGTACCAGTAGCAGCAGGATTAGTAGCAGTAGGAGTAGAAGTAACAGCAGGAGTAGTAGTACCAGTAGCAGCAGGATTAGTAGCAGTAGGAGTAGAAGTAACAGCAGGAGTAGTAGTACCAGTAGCAGCAGGATTAGTAGCAGTAGGAGTAGAAGTAACAGCAGCAGTAGTAGTAGTAATAGAAACAGTAGCAGCAGGAGCAGAGGTAGCAGTAGCAGTAGTAGTAGTAGTAACAGAAGTAGAAGTAACAGCAGTAGTGGTAGTAACAGTAACAGCAGGAGCAGTAGTAATGCTAGTAGTAGTAGCCGTAGTAATAGAAACAGTAGCAGCAGGAGGAATAGTTGCAGGAGCAGAGGTAACACGACAGTAGTAACAGTAGCAGTCGCTTGTGGAAGATGCCTCTGTGATACTGATATTTCTTTATTGATATCTATCATCGTTGAGAGATTTTATGATATCTAAATCGTTGTTTTATTTTGAATGGCTGATATCATTTTTCTCCACCTTTCAAATTACCCAGGGCTGCATTTGCATGACTCATTTTAAAAAATCAGGCAGGAAGAAAGGTTGAGCCCAATGACACAAAACAAGAGTGTCTCAGAAGCAGTAGTAACTTGTTGCTTTTATCAAGACTGTTCATTCAAGGAGCACATGCTGAGCGCCAGTATTGTAGTTTATATAGTGTTCTATTGCATGCATTGCAATAGTGTTCCAAGCATTAATTGTAATATACAGCAGTATTTCCTCTATGGCATCAGAGGGCTGTTCTGCTCAGTCCCTTGAAAGCCAGTCCAGAGCATCTCAGCCACATGTGACAGCACTATCCTGGGGCATTAGGACCCACACAGGCCATAGGGTGAGCACCCCCTACTGGCCCTTCTAACATCCAGCAGCAGCTTTAGCTTTCCCAAGAGGTCTCCTATCCAGGTACTGGCCAGGCTCACACTGTAACGAAGGGTAGTTCTGGACCCCATGCAGACGGTATAATCCAGAAGTAAGTGGAAAAGGACAATGGGGAGGAGACGACGAGGATCGGGAGGGGTTGACAGACAGGGGGGGCGTGACGATGGCGATCTGGTGCTTGGGGGGCGTGACCAAGGCGAACTAGTCCAAGGAGTCCAGGGGGGAAATCCGGGGCAAAGTCCAAAAGTCCAAATCCGGGTGACCCAAACAGTGACAAAACAAGACAAGGTGAAAAGGGGATCCGGTACAGGGAGAGGGAATAAAAACAGGATGACGAGGCCAGGCGCTCTGAGCCCCGGACTCAGCTGGGTCAGGACGCCGATAGGAGGCCTGTGCCTTCAAGCCGCAGACGTAGGGCGACCTGATGGTAGGCCGGCCTCCGAGGTTCCGTCTTTAAATGCAGAGTCAGGAGTAGCGAGAGTGCCAGGCTTGAATAAGGAGGGGCAGGATTGGGGGCAGCATTGGGGGCAGGTGCAAGTAGTTAGCAAAATAAGAAAGAGCCGGAGCTTCAGTGGGTTGTCAGTTGTGAGTTGCAGGCTGATACAGATGATTTTTTTGTTATCATCTATTTTTGTGTTTCAAACACAGATTGTCATAAAAAGACCCTGGGTGGCCCAGAAATGAGCATCATCCTGGATCTGGGTATATTCTTGTGGGGTTCTGTTGTGGAAACTTTTTTTTTAAGATTTACAGGAGAGACATTTAGAACAAGCAGCACGTGCCTCACCCCAAAGACAAACAAGAAATAGCCAAGGTGTGTCCCGCAGTGTGCAAGATGACACAGATCCCAAAGACGACATAAATGCATGTACGTATTTAAAACAAAACAACGAAGAAGGCCACGAAAGGTCAGAAATCTGTGTAAACACATTTTAAGATTATCTGTGCTTCAACAGTACTATGTTGATGTGCAATTTTTCATTGTGATATTTATTTAAAAAATATTGCAGCTAATGAGCTTCCCAGTGGCTGAAGCCATAAGCATGCTTGTTCAGAGCTGATACTGTGTTTCATTGTCCAGACATTGTCAGCTAGAGCCCAGGTTGAGTCATTAGTCCACTACACAGCAGCAGAGACCCCCTAATTCGCCAAGTGAGTTTAGGAATTTGTTGCAGGGGAGCTCTGAAGTACAGTATCAGCAGCAGTACAGTATTAGTAGTGGGTTGCTCTGCTGATGGTCATACACTAGTTGGCACTGTCACTCAACCACTGCTGGCTGGTGAGACTTCTATGCAGGGTCTTGATGGTGAAAGAAAAAAGTGACTTTTTTAGGCTGCTCAACCTATTCAACACATGGTGAGCAGAGTTTGGCTGTAAATGCTAACCAATAATTCATTTCCAGTTTAATATAAAAGACTATAGGTTTTCTCTAGGGGATCAGTTATGTCTTTACTTGCTTTGTGTTGGATAGCTCCCATTCAGACAATCCTGCCGGCCAAAATTGCTTAACAAACGTACACATAAAAAATCATACAGTGGTCATCATTAATCATGGATATTTCTTTTGAAAAAGTAATGCACATTGCTTTAACACTGGGGCACTCTATATAGTATAGGCCTTCTGACAGCCCTAATGCAATCCAAACCAGAAATGCATTAGAAGAGTCTGTAAGTTATTAAATTTATGTAGATGGATTATTTCTCTGTATACGGCACCACATGTAATCTTATATTTCAGTGCATGCATTGCCCTTGCCTGATGCACGTTAGTATACAGTAATAATCGGTTTTAAAATGATTCAATAAATAATATTTATTCGCTGGTTAAACTGAGCTTTCAAACAGCATGTCGTCACTGTTTGAGGTTTAGATTTGTTGGGTTAAGCTGAGTGAAAAAATAAATTCAACTGCACCTCTTGCCATTCCGATTCCTGTTCCTTCATCTAAAGTCAAGAGTTTCCAGCCAAATCAAAGAAGCATGCCCGTTACTATAGCTGCTGCGCTGCAAGCAAAAGGCTCCTCATTCTTCAATGCTAGGGATCTCTGGGAGCTCTTTATTCTCTTCTGGTCAATTAGTTAATCAAATAGTTTATGGTCACCTAGAAATAGAATCTAATACCCGAGTGCTCATGTACCATGCTCCCTGTGTGTCCTCATCGCTTGGCCACTTCTGGCAACTCTGCACTGTTTTTCGAGAAACATCATGGCTCTGATTTTCACTGTGGGCAATTTTCCCATCGAACCGATTTACTCTGGAGTAGGGCAATTTGCCCAGTTAGTCCACAGGGAAAATAAGGGCTGATAGGCTAAAACTCTTGAATCGCTGTAGTTGTTTCGTGTCTTGGCAAATTCATCAGTACTTCCATATCCTTAAGTCCAAAGAAAAAAAAACACCCTTACACTGTTACAGCAACCAGTCACGTTGTAAGAGTCTCATCTCCCTCGTTTGTCTTGTGCTGGTTCACACCAGCAAGACGACTTTCAGAAGTTGTTCTGTAGGAAGACTGAAAAACAGGATTTATTCTGACAGTGATAGAATGACTTGTAAAAACAATATTATTATTCCAGTGCACAATTTTCACTTTTTTGCCAAACCAACTCCAAATAAACTCCATCTACATTAGCTATTATTGAAGAGGAAAAATATACATAAAAACATAAGAAAGGTCACAAACGAGAGGAAGGCTTTCGGCCCATCGAGCCTGTTTAGACATTGATCGATCTGCGGAGCTAATCCAACCTTTTCTTGAAAGAAGCCAGGGTCTTGGCTTCAACAACACAGATGGGCCGCGTGTTCCACGCTCCCTCAACTCTTTGGGTAAAGATGTGCCTCCTGTTCGTTGTTACCTCTGATAACCTCTGGATCATGTTTCACTGTTCAGTCTGAAGAAATACTCGAGGCTGACACTTAGTGCTTTGTCAATGTCGATACTTTTCGATACACACATAATCGCTTTATCTTTATTTGAAGGGGTCTAGTTTTCTAGATCTTTACGTACAAGCATTTACAGCTGTAGTCAAGTAGTGCTTTTCCCTAATCTTCCTTATAGCTTTTCCTAATCTTCCTTATAGTTGCTGCAATCTCCTTCCCAGACCCCTGGGAAAACAGACTGGTGAATGACCCCTTCTCATTCTGCCACCGAAGGCAGAACTGAAACTACCTTAATGACACGAGTACCTGTGATGGTAACTGACAACCTTTATTTTAATTTACTTTCCGGGTTTCGGCAGGAGGTGTCAGAAGAGTCACCGTGGGGAGAACGGGCTTGTGGCGGCCAAGTTCTTATAGCGACATGGCTTTTTGACCCTTCAGAAGTCGGAGTTTGGGATCACGTAGTGCTTCAGGTTGACTCCTGCTGTTCCTGATACGCCCATGCCTGACCCGCCACCAGACGCAGCTGATAACACTCGTGTGAAGGGTTTTACTCTCCCATGTCTAAGCATTGCCAAGAGAAGTCAGGGACTCAGAGCGCCTGGTCCCGTTATCCCCATTCCAGTTTTTAACTGTGTCTTGTTTTCGTCTCTTTCCCGGTTTTGGACTCTTGGACTTCACCCTGGATTCCCCCCCCCAGACTCCCTCAGACTTGTTTGCCTGAACCATGCCCCCCCCACCGAGCACTCCCCCCTGTTCCAAGCCCAGCCCAGTTCCAAGTCGTCTCTTCCCTGTGTCTGTTTCACTCCCTTCCGGATTCTGCCGTCTGCATAGGGTCCTGATCAATCCTTCGTAACAGCCTGGTAGTCTGCTCTGTTAAACACATTAATGTGTAGACCTTCCAGTTATGGTTGGTTCCAATAAGAGTTGCTCTTATAATGGCTTGGCACTGTGATTCTTTCTAATACTGTACTAGTGAGTCTCGCTGTTTTCCTGCACAACTAAATTTTAGTTGTAGGCGCAAGTAGTAATTATATAAAAAAGAAAGCAAAGAAACTTGAAATATAGAGAGCAAGTTTCATGTTTTCTCTCTATAGTAAAAAAACATATTGTGTCCTACATTATATCCTTTAACCAAATCAAATCTGTTACTGTGCACAGATTGAAAAGAAAATGATTTTTGTGTGTGCTGTTTTTCATCTCATTATGGTGCCCTAATCTGATTCTAATGAGCCTAAAAATTAGCTTGCCTTACTTCTTAAATACTGAATCAGTGGAAAGATATAGTTGATGTTTTTTAGTCACATGTTTTATGGTTGGAATAAAGTCAGTGTTGCTTGGGCAGAGAGAGCCAATTGTAACAGAAGCGTTACAGCTTTACCACAATTTTCCAGTAAATTTACATATTAACATTCATGTGAGACAAAGTACATAGGAATTGTTTTCGTTTTATATAAGCTTATGTTATATAATTTGATATCTTATCTGACCTATCTATCCAATCTGCTAGATTTATAACTACTTATTATCAATCTGGATAGACAGCCAGAATGGCCTCCTCTCATTTACAACTGTTCTTACGTTCTTAAGTATCCTCTGACTTCCAACGAATTAGTTAAAAAACCTTCAGTAAAGTGACAGGTGTGACACGATTATTTTAGAAAAGGGAAATGTGTTGTGCAGTTAAACGGTGACTGTATCAAAATATTTGGCAAACGCTGCAAAAAAAGAAGAAAAATGAAAGACATGATTTTGTACTGACATTACAAAGAAATTAACAAATGAATTGTAGTCCTGTGCTGCTTCAGCAGCCCTGATGGGGGAACTACACTGTCTTCTGTTTTTCATTCTAGCTGAGCTGAATGACTCGATTGGAGGAATCAATTACTTAATTAGGAGGAGTTAACCTCCTTTCCAGATACGCTCATTGGCCATTTAAAGTTGCCTGGGAAACATGTAAGACAATAGCTTAGACTTGTCCGGGGCTGCAGACCCCTGTTCCTAAACGTTTCAAGGTTAGCAATGTAACCTGCCAGCTGTTTCTGCACAGTACTTGCAGTTCTATAGGATTGCACATTAAGTTGAAAGCATTGGGGAATCACAAGTATCATCTATGTTAATTGAAAATACGCAGCATATCACCAAATGCCACCTCTGCATCACCTCTAATAGTGCCACTTCAGGCTTCCTCTGTGCACAACATTTCTCCGTTCTTTTTTTATCAGAGGTTGCACTGATCAAAAAAGTCCTTTCATCGCACACTTTTAGGAAATATTTCTTATGATGGCCCACAACAAACTATGGACGGGTGTTCACTAACTCTTTCCCAAAAATGTGTCAATGGAATTAGCTTTGTGTGACTGAATACTGTACCCTAAACCAGGGGTTCCCCATTCTGCTGCTGGGGGGGCCCCACACACCTGCTGCTTTTCATTCCAGCTGAGCTTAATTACCTAATTGAAGCCTTAATTAAACTAAACAAAAGTTGCTTGATTGAAATAATGGCAAGTCTTTTTTTTTTCTACTAAAACGTTTGGGATTTTATTTTACTTAGGAAATTCAGCAGTTCAAAGGTGACCTCCAACATGTTGAAAAGATCAAAACAGTTTGGATTAATTCTGTTATTAAGTCAATTAAGGGTTCAATTGTGGGACTGAGAGCTGGGTTAGACCAAAGACCAGCAGGTGTGTGGGTCTCCGGCACCAGGCTGGGGAACCATGCACTGAGCAGCAGCTGTAATCGATTTCTACATAAATGTTTTATATGCTTTTCGAATAGGTGTTCACGCCTATTTAGTGTTTTAAAACAAGATGGTCAGAAATGTCTAAATCAGTTATGTTGTCACTATATGACAGCATCGATGGTGATTGGAAATTTCAAACATCACACACTGGTTGTAAATACTTGACTTATTTAAAAAATGTGTCTGGGAACTATGACAGAATAAATAAAGGCACTGAGACTGCACCTCTCTAAGGATAGAAAATCACGAGAAGCAGCCCTGAGAGAAAAAGCACTGTATGACCTACCTCTAGCCAACAACCAGGAAGTAGTAGCTCAGGTGGGGAGCTGCGTCAGCTCCCCACCTGAAGAAAGAGAACGTTTACGTTTTCTTCAGGTGTGAGGGCTCACACCTGAAGAAGGCTCCACAGCCGAAACGTTGTGTTCTCTTTCTTCTTTTTTTTCAGCATGGAATAAACCTATTACTTGTTCCTTAACAACCAGGAAGGACAAGCAAGTCATTTTACCTTCAATGGGAAGTCTCAATACTGATACTTTGACTAGTATGTGGTGAATTTGACCAGAACCATTTCAACACACGCGGACTGAAACAGTGTGCTTTTATAGGAAAACAACCGATTAGTAAGAATGTGTTTAAATCCTCAAGTGAGCGACAGCAGGTCTTCGGCCCTGTGGGGAGCGTGCCAGCTCTCGTGTTTTACGGGGGCTGTTTGAGGTCTGACCCCATGATCAGACAGACCCAGACGATTGCTGCCAGTCGAAGGGCCTTTTTAAATGCTGTTGTGATAGAGGCTTTTGTGCAAAATAATTTAGTGCTTGTTGGGCCATTGGATGGAGTGTCGGAAACTAATAGTACATTCCTTGGTTGTTTACTGGACCACAAAGTGGCCAAAATTAGTTTGTCGTCCCTATTTTCAACCCTGTGTGACCATTCTCATTGTCCTGAGCTCTTCCTCAAGAATGTTGGTTTGTTTCCACCACAGCAGAGAGATTATGAGTTTAATTGTCCATTGAAAGTCTCTGTGGTGGACCTTAAGTGCCGTTTCTGTTTCAGTTTACCGAGTCCTCTTTTTCTAGTGGGAACGTACATTTCTCTGATTTTTGCATGCAGCCTGCTTGCTGGGGACATCTGAAATTCATCTCCAGTGCAGTGTGAGAGAAACAGTATTTTTTCTTTGTAGTCTCACACGGCTTTTGCCTCTCACTGGCTCTTGACAGCCCTCTGTGAAAGTTTCACCTGTGAGAGTTGTTATATTTCATTTATTACTTCAGTATCATATTTTTTCCTGTGTATACACACACTGGGTGTTCCAGGTACAGTTTCCTGAGAATAATCTGTGAATAGTAACAACTAAATGTTAGTTTTTTTCTTACTTTCAGTCACTTTTTTACATCACAATATTTGCCATTTTATGGCATCGTGTCTCCTGATCTTCTTCAGCAGTGTTGTTGTTGGAAGATGTACTGTATGTTGGTTCAGGCCATGTTGCATCAGTATTTGTTTTTATGGTTTTCTTTAAGAAGCCTGTTGATCGGAGTCCCACCAGGATTGGTTTTTTTGGCAGGAATGTCAGTACGGTACTGAGATTAGGTGCATGAAGTTAGCCTTAAACTGATTAGGTCAGGTCAAGCTCTTGTTAAGTCAAATAAAAGGTCAAGTTACTTTCTACTTGTGTCTGTCACCCAAGGGCAGAGAGTTAAGTACGCTTCTGAAAAAAATCTTTATTTACCGCTCTGTAGTTTCTGTAGAGAGAAACCTGATGTCTTCCCACTCAAACAGCTCCCCTTTGCAAATTCCAGAATTTTAAAAAAAACGAGCATGTTTTCAGACACAAGCAAGGGCCAAAGATTTAGAAACCAGAGTATTTGAAATCTGTGTACCAGAAAGAAAGGGATAACATAACTTTAATAACATTAAAGCATCAGCGCTTCTAATCCATTTACTTAAATGACAGCCACAACAAGTCTGCAATCTAATCTTTTGATTGTAACTGCTCAGCAGAATGAATTACCTGCGCTATCACTCAGTTTAATTGGGCGCTCCGTGCGGAGGCACTTGTATTTCTTTCGTTACAAAAAGACTACGGCCTGCCTTTCACATTTATTTGACGGGTCATCAAAGCGATAGTGGAGCGAGTTGACGACGTTTCATGGCCGGGTTCAGGTTTCCGTTCCGGGCGTGCTCTCCCCGCTCCTGTATGTCAGCACTCCGCCTCGCAGGGAGCGCTACTTGCTCCCCAGTGTGTCTCCGACCCCGGAGAGTTCAGGGCTGTAGAGTAGGTGCGCTTCCTTCTCCGGTGAGAGCGCAGTGTAGTCCTGATAGCAGCGCTCACTGTAGCTGACGCCCGGCTGCGCTACAGGTAAATGCCTCTGATAATCTGTCTTCCACGATGTGTGGAACACACTGCTTCTGCCCCATTCACTGCGGTCTCGGACACGGATTTATATGTTATAGCAGGTAGTGGTGTGGAAATGAACCATTTCTGTCCCGATTAGGTTGGTTTTAACACATCAGCACATTAACGACAGATATGGGTCATGTTTTAGCAAATATAATATCGTATTGTGTGTAATTGTTTGGGTTTTTATTCTGTAAAGGATAGCAGGGTATTTATTAATTTTCTTCGCTCCTGCAAATAACAGGCTGTCCTCTGGACATTGTGTTCTCTCGCCATCTTGTTGTTTTCCTTAGATATCACAACCATAAAGAATTTTCAAGGTCACCTTCATATGTATTTGTGGCCCAATCATGTTGTTGCATTGCCTAAGAGGTTGCATTTCCAGAATTTCGGATTTTGTTTTTATTTTGTCATTTGGTTGTTTCATTGTCCATGTTGCGTTAAATGATCTTGCCTGTCCTGTTTACAGCTTCCGTTCGTTCTGCACAAATTACCCAGTTCTTGAATTGGATTAATATTCCTGCACCATTGTACTTAAATTGGGAAGCCAGTTTTCTTTCGGCAGAAAGTTCAGTACGTTGATCTTACACCACGATTTGCATTTTCCTTATTTTGTATTACGACTATTAACTTTGGCCTTGTATTTTACTAGCGTATTTTACTGGCCAACTAACCTTAGACCAACTGGGTCACGTCACAAGAGGGATCGAGTTACTCTTTACAGCAACAAAAACAAAACTGCGCTCTAGCTTTTTATTACATATGACAGTAAAAGGAATTAAAGTGACTCCTGTCAGATTAGTGTAATAGCCTTGTATCGGATTTGCAAACTGAGTACGGATCATTCAACTCAGTGTTTTAATTTCATTGTCGCTCCGGTTTCGGCTCCTTGTTTTTACGCACCGGCTGAGTGACTTTATCCGGACTCATAAAGGCTAGAAACACTCCTGTGCGGACTGCCGCCGTGCTGCTGGGAGATCGGGGAATGACCTTGACGGACACTTCTGCTTTCAAACTCCCTAATAGTATCTGACACAGTTTACTCACTTGCATGCTGCTGCAGAAATGTCCTTTGAAACCAATGAGAGCTATTTGAAACTGGAAACCTTAGAGGAATACCCTGAGGAAAGGTCGCAAGGCTGCTTCTGGAACAGGAGATTTTCGATAGCTTTTATACGCGAAGGCATATTGTACATTTTAAAAATAGGAAATATGAAAACAAGTCCCGTGTATTTTTTTAAAGGTGGGCTCCTGCTGTGCAGAAAATCCAGAATATCCCGGTGAATCTTCTTAGATCACAGTAGATCTTCATGTCGACATTTTTCTCCAGTGTCTGTTCTCATTCTGAAGTCAATCAATCCTTTATTTGTTTCAGTAATTAAAAAAAACAGTCATTTTGTAAACAAAGACATTCAAAAGATATAAGATAGCAAAGGAGTATCGAAATGACTAATTTAAGCACACGTAATCAAGGACGGAAAAGTTTCAAAAATCAGTAATGTATGTACAGATGAATATATAGGGTGACAGAAGATTGGATATTTATTTGGAGTAATTGCAAATGTGCTAGAATTATGTCAGTAATTGTCATTGTTTTATATATGGTACAGAAATGTGCTACTTTGATTATTATAATTATTTGCTACAATGTCTTTTATACAAACAGTTCTGTCTAATGCAAAACTTCAAAGTTGTGACTTTTATATATTGTATATATTACTCTATTTTATTTTATAGAGATTTTAGCATACAAGTTATTTTAGTCTCTTATAAAGGTGCACAACTACCCTATCTCCAGAGACTCTCAGCTGGGCTTAACTGTAGAGGGTTTCACAAAGTGTTCTGAGGAGGCTTCACAACCGACTGGAAATGTCTCAGAAGCATATCATAGGTGACCAATTGAATTTAAAGGAAGGAAAGGAAAGAACAGATTAATTTTCTTCCATATTGCCATGACAGTCATATGCTAGCATGGGACCCAAACACTTTCAAACCGCAAAGACTGTCTGTCAGATGCGTAAAATTACACATAAAGTTTGTTGCTTCTTGGAACCAGCATAACCAATTGCTGGTTTAAACTGAAGGCCTAACCGCTTCCCCCAGTCACCAGTTTGGAGAATGTGATGTATTATTGCCCATGACCACCTACCATTCCCTAACCACTTGCAGGCAGTGTGGGCTCACATGACAGGGCAGCCTGTTCTTCTGCTGTGTCTCTGAGGACCTGAGTGTCTTTGCAATGGGCATCCTTTAGCATTATTCCAGGATTTTCCAGATAAAAAGGGAGTGCCATCGGTCGCACTCAGGAAAACAAGAAAATGCTCCGGATGGGAAGGCAGTGTTCTGTATGCTTGTGGTCCCAGCTTCTGTCTTGTGGGAACCTGCCAATGCAAATGTTGGGTTGGAAGTTAAGATAAGATCACTTTATTAGCCATATACAATTTCTTGCATTAGGAATTTGTCTTTTTGCACTCCCCAGCTTGCTCTCCATGAGACACACAGGAGGAGAAAGAGAAGCCTTTTGGTCAGATGGTCAGCCATTTAAATGGCACCCCTAGAATAGCTGGGGTTAAGTGTCTTGCTCAGGGGCCCAACAGAGTAGGATTCCTCTGCCAGCCACAGGATTTGAACCTGCAACCTTCCAGCCACAAGCACAGATCCTTAGCTACAGTGCCACCGCTCCGACCCTGTTCAATGCCGGGCAAGATGCTCAAACCTCTAGGTTGGGTCTCTCAAAAGGTAACGGATAGTTTTGATATGGCAGTAGAGCTAGAGGTTAAATGAAGGCATCAAAGAAGTCTTGTGCTTTGTGTTGCTGTTAAGGAGTCTCCCAGCATATGACTCCCAGGGAAATGGAGATACCTTCACTTTACATCTCACTCGGATTCATTTGCTCCCTCTGAGACTCCCATCCATCGGACAATGGTCTGCTTCCCAGTTGAGACCAAGGACTTTTAGGAAACCTAAAGATGACATCACAGTAAATATGTGGAGAATTAACAGATTTTCAAACCTTAATTGCTTCCAGTGCTAATCAAACAGTGTAGACAGATTTATTTGTTCTTTAAATATAGACGAAACAAGGAGGATTTACAAATGGTAGGAAGCGGCAGACATTCCAAATACCATCGGCTTCGTGTAAAACTGTGAACTCTAAGAGAGCCCAGCTAACAAAAACGGCAACAGTGCTATCGTCTTCCTGGCGGAGGAATCTCAAGGCAGAAAGGATTCCTGTAGCAGATTATTCTATTCTTTATTACCTCTCTCAGAGCAACTGGGGGGGACATATGTTATTCAATAAAAAGGTTAAGAAAACGGTAATAAAGGAAATCAGCACTTAGCATTAAAAAAAGCCTTAAGGGAACTAGTTAGTGGCATAAGACAGAACAGAAGGAAAATAACTGGAAAGGGGCCAGAGGCCATATCTTCCTTCAGATTTTTAGTCCTGTAGTTCTCAAGCCTCTTTGGGTTGAAAATGGAAAGGCCAGGCTTAAGAGGCCAATTTTCATGCTATCCACCCTGCTCCGCCAGGATATACATTCCAAAACTGGGAATGAAGGCGGAAGACAGCACCTGAGCATTCACCCCTGCGCGTTTGCTCCCAAACACTTCTGGCATTTACTCCAGCGTGCTGCGCTTTCCATATTCCGGCTGAGATGTGGTCTCCACATGAAGCTAAGAATTTCCTGACAGAGGTCTTGCAGATCGGAATCTCTGATTGCATTCCTGCTCTGGAGAGGGACTTTCCTCTCTGGATCCCTGGAATACGGCATATGTGCAGTAGGTGAAAGAACCTTTAAGTACTTGAGAATTTGGGAGGATTTGCCTGCATTTGCTTGACATCCTCACTAAAGTCAGAGTCTTTATATGACTCAGGGAGGAGCAGGTTTTCTCATGTAAAAAGAACTTGATTTCTCAAATCCAGTGTCTGGCTTTATCAGCCTAATGATTTTATATTGTTCCTGCGCGGCTTTTGTGCTTCTAGGGCTGCAGTGCTGGGCTTCTGGTACTGATCTCTGGAGATGCCTTCAGAGACTTAGACACCAGAAGGAGTAAGACAGTGTTGTGAGCTGGGGTGGCAAGCACTCTGGTTTTATTATAGCTGCCTTTGCAGAATGCTGTGGCAGTTTGTACCTACTTCCAAATGCCTATTTTTGGGCCTGAAAAAACAACAACAAATAGGTCGAGAAGAAGACTGAGGTTTGCCGTGTGGAACTGTGGCATTTTCGTCTGATACAGGACGTTTGTATCGGTGAGCGATTGCTTGAGAAAGGGTAAACTCTCCTCATCACCCTGATGCAGTTTAAGAACTGCACACAGGCTAGCTGTTCTCCCAGAGCCTAACCATGCAATGTTTACTCACATCAAACCTAGACAAACACAGGGGGATTTCATTTTTTCATTCCCAAACTCTCCTGAGCCTCTTAAGGGCAAACGTCTCGCAGGGCACATCTATGTGGGGCGAGAGAGAAATGAAATGCCTGCTTTCTTCAGTCCGTTCACGGGTTGGGAACTGTGGATTCGCTTTTTTTTATGTCTGCCAATGGAAGCACATTTTGCACTTGAATTGAAGACCTTGGAAATTCTGCTTTTGGTGTACTGTGTGTTTAATCCACTTGGACTATTGCAATAGTTCAACGGATTTTCCAGGAGAAGTTATTACAATCGGCAAATCTTGCCTGTCAGCTGTGGTAAACTGCAGGGATGGGGGTCTGGTAAAACCTCGGTAACCCACAAGCCCACCGTTGCTGTGCAGCAGCTCATCATTTGGTGTCCCAGAGAGAGGCCGGCAGAGAGAGCACTGGTGTGAAAGTCATGTCACATGCAGACACATGAAAGGAACAGAATCTCTTTGTTCTGGGGTGAATTTTCTGAATGTCGGAGCTCTTACATAAAAAAAAGAGAGTTCACAAAATCAGACCATTACTTCCAGCTCAACGCAGAGGATCAGGAAAAATCGCAGGGATTTAAACTAGTTAACCGGAGCAGCATGAGCAGAAGGCCTTTCTTTACACAAAGCAGGGCAGGAGCATGAAACATACTGCCCAGTGGTGCTGGGGAGACACATACAAGGGGGTAGAGGTGATTGGGGCTCTGGGATCATTAAGAGAAAAAACAATAAGCAATGAACCACACAGGCCTCCTTTTGGCAGCTGCTTCTCTCATGCCTTGTGCTTGTAAGTCATGTTAAATGCATATGATAAAAACATTCTTACTCCTTATTCTCTTCTACATTCATGCAAATCTCTCTCTCTGTGTGCACTAATAAACATCCCTGCAAATACTCTCTTTCTGTTTTTTGGCGGTTTTGTTTTTGAATTGCAAAAAAATTGCTGCGATTAATTTCTGAATGACAAGATTTTCACTTTCAGTGTTATTTCTCAAGCAGCAGATGCAAAAAGCAAAGCGCTGAGTTTCCTCAGGGGGTCGTGTCCTGCGGTTCTTCAGTATCACTAGGCTGTGACCGTACAGTTTCGCGCGCACTGAAACCGCATGTCCTGCGAGACGCGCTCTTCATGAACACACCTCGCTGCCGGCTTAGGTTTAACAAGACTCCAATTACCGTAGGAGTCGATTTGATGTATAGGATCTGAAAATGTACAGCTTCCCTCCCGTAATAGTACGCCGTAATTCAGATTAATATAACGTGGAAAGACAAGCTCTAGTTTGTGATTTTCAAATTTAACTGCTAACAGATACGAGTGTTGTTGCTTTCTGAATGTCTGTTGTGCGACATCGCTGTTTCCGGAACATATCATCTTGTGTCTTCCCAGATACTGTTCAGCTCTCAGACTAGATTTGGGGGGCTGACTTGACAGTATTTGTACTAAGACAAATGCAGGCAGGGTTATTAAATACACCCTAGTGATCCACTCCTTCACCCGTCGTCATTTTTAAATATTATTGTGATTCATTACTATAATTATCTTACTCAAAATAACATTAATCCACTGTACAAAGTATTGAGATGTTTGATTGACATTTTTCAGAAGACTATATATAAATTTATTATATAGGGATAAAACTACTTTCTATTTTGTAAATAACTACTTTTTATTTTGAAATAATTTCTGTTTTATAGTAAATATATGTTTATTACATAAAAATGTAAATAATATACATAGACACGTGTATCTCACAAATGTTTAGGTAATGTGAATAACCCTAAAAAACACTATGAAAATCTATGTATAAAGAACGAATGTTTATTTGAAGGCATTCTTTATAATTTATTAGCTACAAAAAATAAAAATCAGATAACCAGAATTATCTTTCGTCTGCACTCTGAAAGAGTGCTGAAAGAGACTTCTGTCTGACTTTTAATGTTACTTCTGTTTAAGCAGGCCATGGTCAAAAACACGACGTCTTCTCGGCACTGTGAGGTTGCTGTGTAACAGTCATATTTCAACCCATTTGTTTTCGGAAACAGGTTTTTTTTTTGTAACGTAAATGGTTCTGTCCCCGTTTTGGATACCAACAATTAATACGAATAAATAATTATGGTTCTTCGGTTTGAGAGACCCGGATATTATCTAGCAGGAAAATCATGGTTTCCCTCTTGATCCTTCGGCAATACATATGATGCTACAGGTAAACTTAGGCTACAGGGAGAAAAATATCTAAACGAATATATCAGGTGACGCAGTACTCTAACTGGGAAAAAAATAGTTTAAGAAATAATATGCGTTTTTATTTTCGTTTTATATATATTATCATGAATGTCTACTGCCCATGGTTTATCATAGCCGGTTTGGCTGTAGATGTTGACATTAAAATTACCTAGCAACATGTACGATTTTCCCACTATTCCGGAGGAGAAGTGTTGCACCTATTAAAGACGCACCTATGTAATTAAGCCTATTACAGCATGGCTTTGCCAGAGGTAATGAACTCGCTGTTCGCCTGATTTAATAATGTATTTTTTAAACACCCAAGGACTACGTTTCATCACTGAATATTGCGCAGGGGGTGTATAGCTATGCGTCAAGATTAATTAATCTATAATTAATCCATTTATTCTGTGAAAAGTAAACGAAACTCGAATCAATGAATCAACTCTAATGTATAAGCTAGGTCGCAAAAGATAGTGGAACACATTCATTCTCAAGAAGTCAACATTTTCGCAGAATTCACCAGTTTCAATGTTCTGTATTTTCAGAGTTATTGTAACTGTCAAATTCTTTTTTTTTTACTTTACAGATATTGTTTTTTGCAATGGTTGCTGCCATGTTTCGGTGTTTTTGAGGATTATACAGGCTGTAATCACACATGAACACTACTCACACACCAAAAACAGCTAAAGCAACATTAATGATGATAATAAACCTTCTAGATCAGACTTTCGTCACGTAACCTACGTTTGCCATCTTCGGTACTTAAATGATTGCAGAACTATTTTTTTTAATAAAATCATTTTCGTTTATGGTCTTTTTTATCACAAAACAAAAACTATTAACAATGTGTTATTTGATTGAAACTTATAATAAAACTAGTCTGATATAAATTCGTTAGTATTTTATACAAATAATCGAATTCAAATTTTAGATAAAGTTTAGATCTGACATTTAACACTGAAAGAAAGAGTGTATTATACTCTAAGGAAGGATGACAGTGTTCGAAGGTCAGTAAGATCTGGTTTGGTATACTTGTTTCTTAATCAGCCTGTGCTCTTTTTTACGTTAGTACTGCTTAACATACAATTAAGATATGATGATAATAATAACTTTACCATTTTGTCAAAACTGCACATCTACATGAAGACACGCCTTCCGTAAATAGCCCACATGCTAATTAATATTTCAGTACTGTACCCTTTTTACCTGTGTGCTGTTTAATTTAGAAACTGCAGAACTTGAGTGTTTTCGCCTTGTTCTGAGAGCCTTAACCTCTTCGTTGTCGAATTAGACAGGAGCCTTTTGACACAAATGAGCGGAATGTTGGAAATCTTTCAAAAGGCTAAACGAGATAAATAAAATAGATCAAATGGTACATTTGAAACAAAGCCAGATTAAATGCATGATACAGTTGCAATCATATCTGCTGTTTGTATGCGTGTCAGAAATATTAAACCACTCTGATATTAAAAATTAATATTCATTGATGGAGAGCAAAACTTCCAGTGAGGAGCCTTAAAGAAGACACCCACTACTTGTGGACAAGCACTTGTTTCTGAATTTACCAGCGCATAAACAGCTCCACTGGTATCAGTTTTAACTGATACAGTACATACTTTTAATAGATACAGTACATACTCACGGTCTACGTCTTCTAGGTGTTTCGTTTAATACAAGAACACTCCATTCGTTTATTAAAAATCCAGGAAGGAAACAGTTAACAGTGATGGTTATAAGCACTCTGTGAGAAATGTTCCCTTCCAGCTATGTGCACTAGACATTAAACTTTTCGAGGACAATTGGTTAAGTGGAGTTAACTGTTGCCTTTTCTCCCTGAGGTAGCGTCCTCTTTTGATCCTGCCGAGCCCGGCGCCTTCCAAAACATAACTTGTCTGCCTTATTAAATGCTTTGACTTATGGTGAAGGATTGCCTGACGCTTTTCAGTAGAAACTCCAGCAACCTTAAAGGGGCAAGGCAAGTCATGAACACTTGTAATACTGCCATGTGCGTCCTTTACATCTTTGTTTGTTAACTTGTAGCTTAATATAGTAAACATTATACGCGGCATATCGTGTTTAGTCTAAAAATCTAAACGTGAAACGGCATTTTTAATTTAAATTGATCTCTGCCTTAGATGGATAGATGTTCTGACGTATTTTCTTCCCATGCTAAATAAAACCCGAAGCCAATAGCTATTAAAATTCCTTTCACGAACCAAATATAGAGTATGTTTTACTAAGGTGATGTATTCTTAGACGTTCTGAAACAAAGCGATGAAAACTCCATGCGCAGCCCTTTAATCTGAACGATAATGTTCAAAATGTGGATAATGTCCGGTGTCTCTTTTTGGCCGAAATGTATAAGTAATTAAATGTCAAAGGGGATAGCTGTCCCACTGTATGGTTTCAATAAGTGCCCAGCTAATGAGTAAAGAGGTTCTTTCTAAAGGCTGCCCTACTGCTTAATTGCAGTAAAATTGCTCTACTCGCTCTGCGCTCCTAGGAGACTTGAGCCCTTGAGCTATCAATAAACTTCCACAGCAAGACATCTATGATTAACTACTCATTCCTTTCAAAATCATTCTTGATGTCTTTTAGAAGCCTGCTGGCCAATCAAAGCGAAGGTTGGCAACGTCATGGAGCCCATTTAGCCAGCCGATTGGAAGGCGGCGAGATAAGAGAAAAGTTGCAGAACTTATAGCCGAAACGCAGCAGCTCTCCAGAAAAGTGGCTGGCGTTTTGACAGAGAGGGTGACGCCGCAGCCCCGTTGTTGCACGCCAGGAAGCGATTGAGGACTGACAAGAGATTTATTCTGAGGTGTATGGCCCCTTTCTCTCGTATCATGAATCCTGTTCAGGGGCCTCTCTCTCAAGAGATTAAACCACACGAAAGAGAGGATTCCGAGAAGGAAGACTTACAATCAAAAGAGAAGACGGCTACAAAAGGATGTAAAAGCAAGACCCCCAGCCTCCCTTTCAGCGTAGAGTCGCTGATCTCGGACAGAACGGCGTGCCGGACTGATCATGTCTCCACTGAGCCGGTTCTGGTTCCGCCTAAACCTGTTGGCGAGCAGGAGGGACCCCACTCTCCCAGGAGGGGTTATGCAGAGAAAACTCGTTCCGTGGACAGCTTCCCTAACTCAACAGGCTGTCCGAAAAGTGAGACAGAGGATCTTCATGACAGCGACCAGAGCACTTGGTTTCAGACCTCGTCTTTTTCAACTCCACCCAGTAAGTCTTTTACTCTACACCGACCTCTGGTTGTAAATGTCCGTGAGTCTGTTGTTTTGTTGCTTCGTCGTGGTTAAAACTGCAAAATCGCAGACGTGAATCACTGTGTACAGGCCACTGACTAAGTATTTACGCACGGGTTAGTGCGGCCGCTGTTTTTTTTTTTTAAAAAAACTGTATATTTGCTTTCGAGCAATGTTTTGGAAACCGGGAATATTCAGTCACAGTTCGTCAAACGAAAACTCATATCTGAAGTGTGTTCATGGATTCCTTTAATTAGCAATCGTTAGATTTCGCTTAAGATCAACGCGTTTTCCTTTTTCTGGATGCAAAATGCAAAATAAAAATGTTACACGTGAGGGTGGTGTTTATTTGGGTATAATACTGATTGCTGAAGTTGTAAAGGTCAGAAAAGTTCAGTTAGCTTGGTATACTGGTGAGATTTAACGTGGGAAGGTGGGGAAACGTGCACATTCAGTAATAGAGTGGGACGTTGTGTTTTAAGAGTTGGGTGGTGGTTTGCATACTTGTTAGGACCTAGTCTTTATGTTAAAAGTATTTGGGTTTTTTTTTGGCATTTTATTTTAATTCCAACGCCAACGTGGTAGGGCAATGACCATCTTGGTCAAAGTGAGACTTCAGTTGACGGTAGGCGGCAGAAGCAACGTTTATACTGGCGCACCACCTGCGCCTACTTCCCCGCTGTCGGCTGTGCTTGTGAGACGGGTCACACTTAATTTAAGCAAGCTGTGTCTGCCTAGAGTCGATACTATAATATATATATGTGTGTGTGTCTCTTTGTCCGTTGCTACAGTATCACCTGTTTTATAGTTATAAATATATAAGTGATTTACTTATAACACCTCGTATGATGCAGAATAGCTCTTTGACAGGTTGGAGTTGATCATATTTATTCCATGTGAAATGTTTCTCACCAGTGCCCGTTACGCGTTTCAGCAGGGCACTCCAGTCCGCCGCCGTGCACCCTTAGGAAGCACAAGAACAACAGGAAGCCCCGGACGCCGTTCACCACCTCCCAGCTGCTGGCGCTGGAGAGGAAGTTCCGCCAGAAGCAGTACCTGTCCATCGCGGAGCGAGCCGAGTTCTCCAACTCGCTCAACCTCACGGAGACGCAGGTCAAGATCTGGTTCCAGAACAGGAGGGCTAAAGCCAAGAGACTGCAGGAGGCCGAGCTGGAGAAACTCAAACTGGCCACGAAACCTCTGCTCCCTGCGTTCGCCTTCCCGTTCCCCCTTGGAGCGCATGTGGGCTCTCCTTCACTGTACGGACCGTCGAACGCTTTCCATAGACCAGCCTTGCCGGTCCCGGGACTCTTCAGTGGACCAGTCACCTACGGGATGTATTATTTATCATAACGGAACTAGGCTGACGTTAAGCAGCCTAGTTGTAAAAGCCATGTTGAAGTACTGTTTTGGCCCATTTGGCACAAGTAATATATTGGTTGTATAGGCCTTCAAACAAAGATTCTCCATCTCTTACCCCTGTCCACGGGCGTTGTGCCTAATATACTTCCCCCTCGCAAACTGTGGCAAAATTAATGTGAACTTTTGAAGCGCTAAAAATATCTCCTAACGTCGTTTCAGTTTCTGTAAGCCCTAGCAAAAAAAAATATACTTAGCCTAAATGTATGTTATATCAGCTCTTAAAGCTGGACTTTAGTTTACTAAGGTTTCGCTATATTACGATTTATATTCAAAAAATATTTTAATCAGTTTAATATTATTTTTAATTAAGAGTTCAGATATTTGACTTTTTTTTTCCTGCGATCGTCTGCCGCTGATAAAACGATCTTTGTCGATAGTTAATTTGTGGGGGTGTGAAACGGACTTTTGGAATGAGTCCTAAAGTGAATATTGACCATGTAAAACACAGTAAATTACAAAAGACACCACGCCACCATGAAAAAAAAGACGACTCAGTTTTTGAACTCCAGGGAAAAAATCATAATTCATTTCATGTTGGCGAATTGACGAACAGAGAAAATCGTTTTGTTTTTTTTTTAATTAAGGGAATACTTTCGTTCTAATAATCTATCAAGGTACTACGTTAAGAATAGTCTTGTATCTTCAGATCTACAAATAGTCAATTAAGACTGTCATATATATTAAGAATAAAAACGGATTCCGGTAATGTTCTCTGTATAACCAGACTCTAAAACGTTATAAACGTTAAAAAGTTTGTATCGTATTCAAGAAGATAATAACCGCGACGGAAGTTTGAAATTTTACTCTGTTTTATTTAAACTCCAGAGTGCCTTTTCCTTTCGGTGCAATGGAAATACAAAACTCCGAATTGCTTTCACAGGTCAAATTGGTCTCCCGTGGCGAGATTCAGTGAGACCAGGGATCAAAGAAGAGAGTGCAGTGAGCTCTGACCGCTGGATTTCTTAAGAGTAGCATTTGAGTCGCAGTACATCGTCTTATTGGTGCTGCTTCTCGTCGACAACTTGTGTGAATGTTAGTTATTTTTCTAATGTGCATTTTTTTTTTAGAATTAAATAACGACCCAGCCTTATTACATGAATTAATTAACGGTTGTATTGGTGTTCATGGACCAAATATTTATCAGCTCAGAACAAAGATCTTGGAATGATTTACAGACATACAGTACTGATAGAAATGTTCCAAGACTATTATTAAAATATGTGGAACTGGGAGACAGTTGTTTGAAATCGTGAAAGGCCACATCGCACTGAGTTTCGAAAACCTGCGGGGTTTTTCCCCCCTCATGTTCAGCGATAAAGGCGGAGAAAATCTTGTCGAGTCAAGAAACTGTCCGTTCCAATACTGCGTCGCAGTACACGTTTCAATAGGAAATTCCGAGGAGTTTATTTTTCTATTTTTTGGAGTGTTCGTGTGTTTGTACATTTGCATCACGTTGAAAATTTATATTTGCAACAAACCAGTAAACTTTATATGTGTGGTGGTTTCTCTGTTGGATGTCTGCAAAAAGGCGACGAGTGACTATTAAATGACTTTTCTGTTTTAAAATGAGCTCTTATTAAAAAGCACTATTGAAAAAGTCGACGTTACCCAGTCAAAGGGTAAACGTATTTTTAATGCTGTATTCGTATATAAAAAAATAAGACCTATATGAACTATGACTGTAAATAAAAATTGTAGACTATAACGTTTGGTTTTCTGCAACCACGATTTCACAAAGAATTAGCAGGAGTATCGCTATTTAAATGTTATATATTATATATAAACTGCTAAATGTGTTTACATCCATACAATGTACATCTCCGCATTGTACATATTTGTACATATTATTAGAAACGAACAATTGCCTTTTGTACAAAGTATTCAATAAAGTCTTTTAATTTACATTATTTTTTAGAAACGTTGTCTTCATTTTCTCATAATGTCCATTATCGGACCCCCTGCCAACAAGTGTTTTTTTAAGTTTTGAACTCTAATGTAATTAGAATATAAGTGCTCGTTTTTTTTTTAAAAAAGGACAATTTTCCCCTTTAAACGTTAAATACAAAATAGGACAGATTAGACAGAAAGCGGGCCCGTTGGCCAACAGAAAGAAGCCTTCCGGTTTAATTTCAGGCAGCGTGGGTTTGCAGTCAGTGCAGGGGGTCATCTGACTTCATTAAGGCTGCCATAAATATCGGACACAGCCCAGCTTACATCCAGATCCTTACAGCGCCGATTCCAGTCTGGTAACTCAACGGCCCGGTTCTGTCAGAACCGATGCAGTTCTACCCGGTAACGGGAAGAATATATATCATATCATAACCCCATATTTTTAACCTTATCTTAAAATTGATTATTTTAGCTTCGGCGTTGACGCAGCAATGAAACAAGGAGCTTGCGCAGGGTGTGCGCTCCCACACCACCTGAGACCGATAAAAGAGGGTCTCGCACTGTTCTCACATGTACGCACGGAAAGGTTTTATATATGTACCTTGAAAGTAGTGAAACCGCATTGAAGTCGCTGTACACACCCCTGGAAGGATAACCACAGTACTGTACTGTAGTTACTCCATCTACTCTAACCGGTACTTCGGACTCCACCAGGAGTATTTACAACCACAATGGAAGGCTACAGGAACTACAGGATCAGGACCCGGCCGTTCAGCGGACGCCGCTGTTGTACAATTGAGCTGGGCCTGTCTTTTACCCCAAAGGTCCCGCTCCAGGTTCCCGCATGGATGAGAGTAGCAAGGCTCCGATAGGCCAGCGTCCCATCCCAAGGGGACCCAAGTACTTCGAGCCCAGCTCACCTCAACGTCATTCAACCCGCCATGAGCCCCGGCCTGAAGAGCCCCTCGAGTGTGGACATCTACACCTCCGACGAGCAACGTCCGTTCAACGCCATTTGTTTTTATTTTAAAAATCAAATCTACAGAATACACACAAAATGTAAACGGAAAGTTACTTTTTAAATGGTTTCCGAAGCTTGCTTTAGAGAGGAGCCTGTTCAATCCCTTTAAGACGGGCAGTACGGTCGAATCAGTAAATACAGCACAACTGACAAAGTTGCGGATTAATGTTATTTTATATAAACTATGAGAATAACAAACCGTGTTTAAATAATTAGGAAATATTGCTACAGTTAGTTAAAATAAGATTATTCATTTTGTGTATAAGAGACAATCTTTACTACTGCTTGTGTCGAGGTCAGTTTTTACCGAAGGAGGTCGTGTATTGTTACTTGCACGGTAAGCTAACTTGAAGTACTTAATACCCGTGCGGTAGCTGAGCCCGCTGGCGGCAGCTTCGCCAATAATACAAGGGCGCCACCGTTCGGTTGTAATACGAATACCAGTCCAGTTAAAGGACATTTGTACGTATAGTACACATTTTATTAAAGACTAAATAATTCATTTCTTATAATACTTATAAGAAAACAAATTCACTATAACGTACACATCCACATCAGGCGCAGTTCACACAAAAACTAAAGCATATGAACCAGTCAGTAATATCAAATTAAAATGCGTATTAAAAATATTTTATTCATAACATTTTAAAAAGAAACATCCTTTTAAACATCCATTTTATTGTTATACGACTGGTAAATATAATTAAAAACATACAATGCAACAATTGCTCTGCCAGTATGATATATTTTCAGCAGAAATAATGCTTACAGAGTCCCGTGTCTTTAGTTCAATCCATACATTTCATTGGCAAATAAGGAAATACAGGACTTTGGTACAGATACCACAGGGTCCTGCGTCTATTTTACACACCTTTCAGAAAACCTCATCACCCCACGAAACTTCATTTCTTTCTTCTGGTGCCCCTGAATCCTCGCACTGAGCCCTGCCCAAAGCACACTGACGGTGGTACCCTGGCGGCAGAGCAGAGAGCAGACAGAGATCAAGCTTTGGCACACAGACTTCACTCATGATGTGGCCATCAGTGTGAAATGTTAACAGAAATCACAAAATGGACTGTTTAAAAGCCTTTCTCTTGAACTGGCACCCTCATTGGTTTTTTAACAGGGCATTCTTCTGGGGCGGTGAACATTATTCATGGTTCCCCTACAGGATTCAGACCCGAATCCTAACCACTAGTGCACCCTGCTGCGTTGCGCTGTTAACCTATGAAGCCGACATGTCTGAAAAGCTCTAAAGGAAGATAAGGATTCCTGGAGCTGCAATGGCAATTTTGGTCAACAGAATCAGAATCTATCTCCCACCCTCTTGCTTGGCTCTTTAACTAGAAATGTGTGTGGACTCATATAAGTGATCACAAGACTGCATGTTCCCCAGTCCACATGAAAAAAAAAAACTACCACAATGTCAAAAAACATCCAATCAAATCCCTGTTAATATTTGCATGGATTATTAAAGGATTTTAATCAAACAACATATTGGCCATTCTATAATGTCTAAGTTGCATTAAAAAAAAAAAACTTTCTTAGACCCTTCAGATGCCCAGAATAAACTGTTTCTGATAGCAGATTCTACACAGATAAACTGCTTCTCAGGGGGTTAACTCGGACACAGGTGATTCAGGCGCATGTCCCATATAATGTGGGCCATAATGAATTCAAGCCGCCTCTGCGCTGTACATACTTGTAGGAATAGCGTGGCTTGGTCTGCTCGGCGCGAGAGTCATCTGCAGTCCCAGAGGCCCGGCCCGCCGGAGCTGTGTTTCCAGAAGGAGAGAACTCCATGGGCTCCGCGCGCTCCGGTTCCCTGAGCTGGACAGCGGCAGCTTCACACACATCCATGCTTGCGCCTTTCTGCCAGCACGGCTTCTCCTGAGCCTTGCTGTGGAGGGGGAAAAATGGATTAGACATGCAGCTGCATGAAGCAGAGGCGATAACCATCATGCCCCCTACGTTAAGGTACACTAACCGCTGTCCAGGTACTTGGCTGAGGATCCTGGATGTTAAATGCCCACAATACTGTGCAGTTAGAGAAAAGGACGTCTTTTAGTGAAGATCACATCTTCATGAGCGTTTTGAAGAGCAACCTCAGTTCTAAGACAGACTCACTACTCCTTTGTGAATCCTGCTGTGATTCAGACATGTGTTTCCAATTCTATAATTCTATTCAGTAGGGGGACAGAGTGCTGGGGTTTTAAGGTACAATTCCAGGGCTTTGAACTTGGTAAGTCTAACATCACAAGTCATCACAGAATGCTTTAGCATTCACATTAAGCTGGAATGAATAAAGTATGGACAGCAGTATTTCAAAATGTTACAAGGACAATTACAAAACAAACTATCTGTTTAAAGACTGCTTTCACATACAGCTGTAAACCTGCCTGATTAAAAGTACAGTAATATCTGTAATGTGTAGGTGGCTACTTGATATTTTATATACAAGGTGAAACAGGGAAACACAACAAGCTTATGTCTACGTCAAGTCTAGACAGAGGTTCCTCCAGAGCTCTAACGATGCACGGTTTCTTAAGAACTCTAAAACATCATTTTCATGGTGTGTCAGATTTGTGCTACTCATATGACTCCCTTTATATTACTTTTGTTTGGCTATGTTTTATCTCTTAATATATATCTCTGTTGTCCTTTAATAAATGAAAGGTACACTTCAAATGAAATAAAACAACAATATTTTCTGACTGTTACTCATGCGAAAGAATAATATGCATTGGTGAATTGTATTTGAATTGAATGTACAAAAGAAAACATTAAATCAAACACTCAGAAATACATGTGTTTATTTTTAAAAAGACCAATGTGTTTTCACTTTTCATGCATTGTAGCGATTGCATTTTAAGAGGTTCCAAGCTTTACCTTTTGCTCTTTTTTGGCTTGTCAAATCTAAAATCTGGAGGATAGCTGTGCTTTTTTATCAAATGATCTTTCCTTTCGCCGCTTGTCTTCAGTTTTACATCACAACCCTCCACCAAACACTGGTACTGAAAAACAAGAGAATAGGTCACGTTCCGCCCCCCCTACATCAGCAGCACGAACAGCTTGCCGCCACCGCTAGATGGCAGCATTTCAACATCAGCAATACGGAAAAGACGATAACCCTGTGCATCATCATTATTTTCACCTGACCCATCTTTTGGAATTACAGCTCCTTACAAGTTGAAGTCATATCGTCATTTAAAAATATCTTTAGAATGAACTTGATGTATGTCTACACAAAATAAAGTAGGTAGCCGCGTCGGCATGCGTAGGCTGCAAAGGAACAACTAAAGGTTTATTCCGTGCTGTAAACAGAAGAAAAGAAATACGGGTGACACCCGAAGAAAGCTCCACAGCCGAAACGTTGCGTTTCTTTTCTTCTTTTTCCAGCGTGGAATAAACTTTTACTTGTTCCTACACTACACTAGGTCCATTGGAGTCCGTTGAGGGATTGTGCAACGCTAGCGCTATTTAGAGTACCGATATGTTATCCCATCTGTCGCGGAACAAGCGTTTTCTTCGGAAAAGATTATATCTTAGCATATCGGCTCCCCCTCCCGCCCATTGCCAAGATCGCGGGGGACGAACCATGTTCTGCCTCTCCGCCAGGACCTGGAACAGCGCGTCGTGCCACTCCGGGATGTGGATGTCCAGGAGGCGGCCCGAGGGAAAGGAGCGCCTGCAGTGGCCGCAGACGTTCCGGTGCAGCGCGTTGTAGTGATGCTCGTAGCCCTCCAGCGTGTCGAACAGCTCCCTGCAGCCAGCGATGTGGCACTGGAACTCTGAAACCCTGGAGGGGAGACGGTGGGGGTGTCTGTGTGGGTGCGGGGGCACCCAGGCTTTTGAACTTCAAAGGAACGCGAGCGGACTGGCTCCGGTCACAGCTGGGGCGCTTCGGCCTTGTGTCGTAGCGTACACTCCGGTTTGTACCCACGTGTTTCAGGTCTCTCCGTCCAAAGTTTCAAAGCCCTTCGAGACGAGTTTTCCCCATATGAAATCACTTGCCGGGCATGTTTCCAATGAGAGGTTCGAAAAGTGCAACACCTAGTGTTGTCATGATCGCCATTCCTTTCGGAGAGAAGGCTTTACAGAACAAAAACCACCCCGAATCTTCAAGGGAACTGCTTGGTTTTAGAGGGAACAGGTTGCATTTCCTAGAGTGTGTTCTTATGGCTGTTTAACTATTTGCCAGTCTTACACACAGCTGCATTAGCACTGACCTTGTAACTGAAACAAGGTTGTTCACTATTATATTAACTGTAACAATGGCTATTACACTGTACATAGCCAACACTAATCCCTCTTTCGAAATGTAGTGAACACCATACATCCTAGCAAGAGGTAATTGTGCAGCTCTAGCAAAGGAACTAATGTACCGTCCAGGGAGCCAGGATGGCTGTTTGCAAATCGGAGGTCAGACAAGCAGACTAGCCATGCTCCTTCAGAAAGCCACATGCATGGGAAGCGATGACTGTCGATACTTACTTTGGCCTATCAGTTGCCTCCGCTACACTAGTGGCAGCATCTTGCAGGTACAGATGTCTCTGTATATCCCCATCCTGTTAAGAGAAGCACAGCCATTCTGGTTAGTTTTAGAAAGAAATGTCATGTTGGTATAGTCAATGTTCTACACAGAATAAACTCTCCCCAACAATCTTTCCTATCACCAATACAGAGTGTTCAAAAAGATAGAACTAAAAATGAAGACCTTTTAGGAAACATACAGCACAGGTATTGCACATATACTGAAATCTCAAAGAATGATATTTGTGGAGTAATTTCCAGAGACACAATGCATCACTGATGCGGTTATGGACAGAAATACATGCATACACCAATTTCCACACACACCTGTCTTTCCAAGGCACAGGAGCTAACTGGGCAATGGGCTGTATTAGGATGTACAAATATAAAATAAATAACCTCTGGAATTTCTCTATGAATGCGAAATACCCTTCACTCGGGAACCATTTCCTCTGAATTGCCACAAGCCCTAGATCTGACACTCAGTAACGAGAATCACCTCCCCCTCCTGGGCTCCTGTCTCCAGATTTCCTTCCAGCTGGACTGAGAGCTGCTTCATTGATCCCTAACTGAACCCAATAATTTGCTTAATTCAATGATCTGCCTTTAGCATTTTCAGCTGCTTCAGTTGTCATAAAACCTCTAGCTGTGTAACAGCTTCACACACCCAACCCTTTGAAATAATCAAGTAGTTAATTGAATTAAGGGCTCGGCGGAGCGCCTGGAGGTCCGGGCCGCTGGACACACCCAGCAGGTGCGAGGTCACGAGGACCACAGCTTTAATCAGTCCCACAGAGCACCACTGTTTAACCCCGTTCCTGCACGGTCGCGCCTGTTATGTGTCAGAAAACACACCGACCATTGTCTGAGCTGTAAGCAGCTGGATATTTAAAGAAAGGGGCAGGAATGCCCACTGCTGCCCAAGAGCATCAAAGTGTCTGCTGCATGCCTTTCAGATGAGTTCTCAATCTCTTCGTGGAACTAACAATTTCTGTTATTGATTTTCAGGTTTTATTCAGATGAGAAGGCAAACACCCTTTGGAAGATGCATCACGTATTTTCATCCTTTAAGGCTTAACGGTGCCAACCACTAAGCCATATAAGGAAAGACACCATGCCTGTCGAAAATGATAGCAATCACGTCCCCTTACAGTATGTCCTATATCATTTTAGGCTTCAAGAATCCAACGGATTCTTAAAACACTTCAAGATGCTTCTTTAACTAATTCTGAAACTCTTGAGTTGTGGTAAATTAAAAATATCGTCCAGTCGAATATAAAAACATCAGCAAGGTTACGGACACAGGTCCCACTCAAGAAGAGTCGACACGCGTGACTCATTCCACACTGGAATTCAATCTCCGTCTTTCTGCAGCGCGTCTCCCTGCTAATGAACTGCACTCCCACAACATTCATCAGATCTCCTGGGCCAGCAGGACTGGAGCACCTTTCAGGCTCCGCACACCTGTGGGAGTATTCCGGTCTGTATACTGAATAACTTCTATTACAACGGCATCATCACAAAGACTCACGGAGACCGGAATACAAAAATAATGAGAAGGCTGGTCTCAGTTTTTGCATGGAAAATTCCTATTGCTTTCTTGGTAGACCGATTTTATTTCCTTCCGATTGTTTTGTTTATTATGAATTAAAAGAATAAAATGTTGATTCTAAAGATGAAAAAAGTATAATAAAAAAAACTACACCGCCATATTTTGCATGTTTTGTCTCCAGAGCACATAACATATAGTGACACGGAAATAGGTAGCGAAAGCATGAGTTATGCAAAGGCTTTCGGTGGGAAGCAGTCGGAGCTACAGCAGCACTGGAGCAGCTGCAGAGACTGCAGAGATTGCCGAGGCGTAGAAACCCTGGAGCACAGCCCATCCTACACACACATACAGCAAGCAGTCATGGGAACTGAGCAGCACCAAGTCTCATTAAGTCGCTTAATTCACAGTTCTTACTCAATTCGAAAAAAAAACGTACTTCAAATAATTCGTGGTCCTTGTTTAACCGTATTCGTTGCGGAGTGAAATCAAAAGGCGAGCTGCAGACGTTTTCACCATCGCCACTGACTTGCTGTACCGCACTGGGCTCTTCTGCTATCCGCTGGACTGGCAGGACTGGTATCGCCTGAATGTCGGTGCTGCTGGTGCCTGCTGCTGTTAAAAACCGGATTAATTCGAGCGGCAACATGTCAGTTACAATATCGCAAGCACGCTGCTGTTACGTCATTTGTTGCGCTTCCTCGGCTACACTTCATGACGCAGGCGCGGCCCAGCTCAGGGTGTCTCCGTGGTCCTGCTGCTCCTGGGGTTAGAGGCGATGGAGACGGACACTTCCTATGTAACCGAAAAAACATTTGAGCAATTTTATTGCGTTTGCTCCAAAGGACTAATTTTGACTGAAATCTCAATTTATTTGCGACATCTGGAAGGCAATTGCACTTTTACAGCAACCTTGGAAGAGTGTAAAACGCTTCAGCAGTTTCAGTTATTGCCAAACAAAAACAAACATTAAATGATTACGTTGGGAACACATGCAGAAATACACATTTCATGTGTATCCAAAACCATTTTTACATGAAAAGAGGATCAGCCTTTGACTGTGAAAGTCAAATGTTCTTACGGTTTGCTCCTTACAGTCTTGAGGCTGTGGACTGGAGGGTGTCGGGGAGGAACCTCTTTGGTGAGATACTGTTTCCCTGCAGTGGCGGAAGCTTTTACAGGGCGGAGCGAAGTGCAGTGTTTGTGTTTCGCGCTGCTAAGGGGCGGTAAGTCCATTTGGCTGACACATTTATTACTTGTATTTGTATTATAGTATGCTGGTCATTAACCGAAGATAAAGACGAATTATTAATTACTGGTTTATTTGTGTATCCGATGTGCTGGTGTTCTCAGCATCTTTGCTGTTTGTGTGTAACTCACTCTAGATGCTAGCGGTCTAGTTTGTGGTCGAATACAGTATAAACATCGTTGGACCGAGACAACAAATAAGTACACATTTCTTTTAACGATCTAGAGTGTCCTAAAGGTAGGTTACTGACAAAATCTGTTACTAGTGTACATGCATCATCTGTGTATTTGCCCACTGTTGGA